CGTAGACAACCCCTACACTACCAGGGAGGCCTCCTCTTCTGGGAATTTTTTAATTGTTTTGTAAATTGGCTGTGCCTGTTATTCACACGCCATTCAATAATGTGTGAGAGCTCTAATTTCTCCACATCCTCACTGTTTTTGTTCTTTATGACTATTCTCATTTTTGTTAAGCAGTTAGATACAAAATAGCATCATATTTTTAAAAGATTCATTTAAGCATACAGGAACAGGGTACAGTCCAGAGTGTTGGGGTGAGGGGATAAGAGGATTCACCAGAGACAGAGTAGAGAGCAGAACAAGCAGATCTACTGAAATACACTGCTGAAGGGAGCAGTGGGCGAGTCAGAAGAGGTCTGCAGCGCCATGTGGATCACCTCCCTGGCTGGGGATGAAACTTGTGCTGCAATGGCTTCAGATAGCTTCATAGTGCTGTGCTTTAACCCCTTGCACCACCAGGGAGGGCCCAGCATACTTCTGATTAATGGTGAAATAGATCCTTTTCTCAAGTTTATTGATTATCCTGATTTTCCATTATGAATTTTGTTCATACCCTTCTTTTCTCCTTTTCTCTGTTGGTTTGTGGACTTTTTACTTATCCTTTATATATCCTTGCTATAAATCCTTGTTAGTTATCTGTGATAAATAAGTCTTCTTCCAATATGTTTCATGTCTTTTAACTCTAGTTATGATAAGCCTGTAAAGTAAGAAGTCATTTTACTGTACCCATTTTTTAAAATTCTTAACTTTTTCATTTTTCATTTTGTGCCTTTTTAAGAATTTCTTTTCTATTCCAAAGTTATAATGGTGTTCTAATTCCGTTTCATTTGTGATGTGAATGGGGGGGGGCATCTATCATTATTTTAGGGAAAAACAATTTTTCCTAGCATCATTTATTGAATAGTACATCCTTTTCCTGCTGACATATAAAGCAACATTAGTCATATCCCACATTCTGTATATTGGAATCAGCTTCTGGGACTTTGTGCCTACAAATTATTCCTCTTATCTGCCAAATCTTTTTTTTTCCTTTCTCTACAAGGTTATTTTCTTTTCTTTCTTTTTTTTTTTTTAAGATTTATTTATTTATGCATACAAGAACTGGGGTATAGGCCAGAAATGTGGTGGTAGAGAGGATTCACTAGGGCAGAGTGGGATGCAGAACAGGCAGATCAAGAAATACACTGCTGAGGGGAGCAGTGGGCAGAACAGAAGAGGTCTGCTGAGCGATGGAGGCTCTTCGTGCTATGCTTTAAGCCGTTATGCTGCCAGGAAGGGATCAACAAGATTACTTTCAACAGCATATTCAACATGCTGAAATGTTTTCCTTCTTTTAAAAATGTAAACTTACTTAAACTTTCTTGAAATCCCTCTTGTCCTTCAACTTTATCGCCTTTCCTCATATCCCATTGTACTAAGAGGTTTCTGTACAGAGTGCCGCCACTTATCCTTCAACCTTTCTGGTATAGACCTCAATCAGGATTTAATCCCAACCACTACAATGAAACACTTCTTGTCCCTGTTACTGTGAATCACCACTTGGTAAGTTCAAAGGTCCATTGTCATTCCTTGTTTACTCATCCTTTCAGTCCAGTTGACATAATTGTATATTTCTTCTTTTTTTGAATGATACAGCCATGATTCACATAAGCAAAAAATGTCTGCGTAATCTTATGTTTGTCATTTTAGATCCACTCTCAGCCATCTAGTCCCTAATCTCAGCCTTCTCTGGGTAGCCTAGCCTATATGAACCATCTCAAATGGTTCCTGTAAACCTCATTCTTGGTTGTTCCAGCCAGTTGGAAACCCTGGCTGGAAAGAAAACAAAGGAGGAAGTAAAGACAGATAACCAGGCTAATTATTACCCAGACTCTGCCCCTGAGGGGTTGCATAAGGCTGGCAGGGCCCCCAACCAGTTTCTTTCAAGGTGATTTTATATCAGTCTTTTCTTCTGTTTCAATAAAGGCTGGCCTTCCTCATGCTTTGGTTTGCAACAGCTCATCTGCTATTGTTTACACCTATGATTTTGTAAATAAAACTTCCACAAATTATTTTAAGTCTGTCATCCATTTCCTATCGGACTCTTTTAATTTACTGTCTATGGGGAACTTACTTTCTTGGAAGTGAGAGGCTATAAAGAAGGTTGAAAAGTAAATTAAAAGGTGTTGGGTCATATAGGGAAAGATAAGAAAAGAAAGGGAGAAAAGGAAACTAGATGGGTGAGGTTTTGCAATATTAAATACTGTGATCAGAGAAGATCTCACTGAGTGTTAGTTGAAAGACAAGGATGTGAGAGATCTAGCTATGCAGACATATACAGAAAGAAATTTCACGCCTAACAAATTGCTAGTATAATATTCCTGAGATAGGATCATACCGTCTATATTTGAATAAACCAAAGACCAAAGTGATTTAGAGGGAGTAGTAATAGTAGGTTAGGAGGGGGACTGGTTGCCAGGTTATGTGGACTCTTATTAAGGACTGTGGTTTTGCCCTGAGTGAAATGCAGAGCCATTAGATGTTTTTAAGGAGAGGAATGATATGATTTGATTTGAAGTTTTAGTGATATGCTGTTTTGAGGGAAAGATTGAATGAAGAGATACAAATTTGAAGGGGCCTGAATTAATCTAGGTAAGTAATGATAGTATCTTACACCACAATCGCAACAGTGAAGGTGGTAAAAGTAACAGGATTCTGGCTCTACTTTGATAGAACTCTTGGATTTCCTGATGGA